CTCTCTCTCTCTCTCTCTCTCTCTCTCTCTCTCTCTCTCTGTGCCCTTCTAAACCCTATGCTGTTCTTTAGAAAAGTTTATGGAGAAAGCTGTTCCCCTTTGTCGTTCAGAAGTCTTCCAATACTCACCAGACTCAGAACATTAAAAGGAAAGAGGAAAAAACAGAAAAAGACATTGCCAGCAAGATAGAGAGAGAGAAAGAGCGGAAAAAACTCAAAAAAGTTGATTCTAATAGCATTTTACGAATGCCATCCGTCAGCTGCAAATCAGATTTTCCGGACATTCGCACACATGAATTTTCCTTTGACTCACTTAGTGAATTTTCCTTTTAAAGAAAGCTCTCCTTCTTCTTCTTCTTGTTCTTCTTGTTCATCTATGTCCCACAACGAAAAAGCTTTTCATAGTTCGTTTGTTCATAAACATTCGCCCTCTATTGATAATAAGCTGAGCAACACAGCAGCAAAACATTTGAGACTGAGATTAAGCTGAGCTTTTGTTTGTAATTCCTTCATAATCATGTTGGCTGAAGAATCTCACTTGATTTCATCTGTTCATCTCATACTTTTCGATGGTTCATCTCGTTCTTCAAGTTAACGCCAACTGTACGAACCTAAGAAGCCGAAAAGTTGAAAAGGTGACGACGACAATAGGATGACGAGATAAAGAAGAAGAAGAAGAAGAAGAACCGATTATGATAACCGAAATAGAGAGAATGAGTTAAGAAGAGAAAATGAGAATACTACAGCCCCAAGAATTGAAAGATATTTGTTCAACGGTGGAGAAACTCTTCTTCATCACGAGAACCGGGTAAATAGTTCGCACACAAAAGGGTCAGATGAAGATGTGTTGCTCGCAAAAATCGATTTGCCAATCAAACACTTGATAGAAATCATGGAATGTTTAGAAGAAATGTTAAGCTGGTCAAGAAGAGAAGACACTCTTCTAACCCTCATCTCCCCCTCACTACCATCAGCAACAAACGACGACGACGACCACCATCACCACAACCAGTACCACCACCATCAGCACTAACACACACACACATGCTTGAGCTCTTGAAGAAGATAATGTATCTCTTTAATAATAACATTCGTTTTGATTGAAGTTTTGAAGAAAACGCTAAAAACGAATCTCAGAGATTTGATTCTCCGATTACATGGCGATTGAGCCAATACGAGCAGAGCTCCATTTCTCTATATGGCATTTCTTCACTAGTATTTCTGCTTAATTTTATAAAACAAAAAAGAAATGAAATCAGAGACGAGAGAAGCTATGCAAACGATCCGAGAAATACAAGAAGCTAAAGTTGCGAATAAACAGACAACGAGGAACACAGAACTGAAACTCCATTTAAGGTATACACATGTAGGATGGTTATTGAAGCTCAATGCTACTTCTTCACTTCCTTCAAACACATTTTTGCTTTCATTTTTTCGTGTTCTGCTGTTACAACCAAAGTAGGCCTCTATCTCTGGGGAATGGAAGAAATTCCTCAAAAAATTTCGTTTTCAACGGCTCTTCCTCGTTAGAACATATATACATGTATAATAAATCTATATAAGTAGACATAGCAGCTTTGCAAGTAATCGGTCACATTTTTTGTCAGCTGAGGCTTTGTATACACATGAAGGCTACTTCTCTTCTTACTCACAACTACTACTATTGCTTCTGCTTCTGCTCTGAAGCTGTTGTGCTGTTGCCAATAGTGGTTTTGTGTTAAATGGCTAACAGCCTGCCACTACTAGCTGGATTTCCTCTCATTTCTATTGTTTAAATATGGTCACATACTGAATTAGACAAGCACTGTTCTTTTCTCTTTTTCACTATCCAATCCTCTCTCTCTCTCTCTCTATCTTTCTCTCTCTCTGTATTCAATGCCTCCTCTTCGTAGCCTCACACCCATCTATGTCTTTTCTCGGGATTGAACAAGGCCCCCCAACAACAGGTGGTAACCGCAGGATATAAGATGAATAAAAAAGATGATGATGAGAGAGAAAAATGAATGCAACCGCTCCATATGGATCATTCAATCAAAATGAAACACTTCACGTGCGTTTTCAAATATGCAAATGAGTAGATGAGCGAGTTAAAAAGAGAAACTGACGTGAATAGAGTAAGATGGGAGGAAGTATAGTGATGAAAACAAAACAAGAAGATAAACAACATGACAAATGGAAGAAGGAAGTGAACTTGCCTGTTGCGATCTGTAACAGCATAGACGATGAGAAAGCCATTGCCAGATCTGAGATATTGTTCTCGCATTGTACTGAATTCTTCCTGTCCAGCTGTGTCCAAAACTTAAAGCAATACATTGAAAACGTGTTGTAGTTGAATGAAAAACGAAGTAACAACAGAAGAAGGTTAAGAAGAGACAAACCTTCTAAGCGACAGAGATCTTCATCGACGAAGCATTGCTTTGTGTAGGAGTCTTCTATGGTTGGATCATAATCTTGCACGAAATATTGCTAAAAACATTTAGTTTCAAAGAGATTACATCATCTTTTTGTAAAAAAGGAAATAATTTATGACTTCAAAGAGAGAGTTAATGCCTTTATGAGAGAGTCATAGAGAGACAGACAGAGAGAGTTGAAGCTTCTGTGACGAACAGCTGATACCTTCTTAAGTTGTTTACGAAAAATCAATCAAACTTCTACTTAGTTTTTTGTATCAAATGCTGTTGAAGCTTCTGACATTTCTGTTTTTCATAATTTCCCACATCAAGAGATTCTGAATCGCAGACGACACAGACGACGACAACGACGACGTCGATGACGAAGACGACAGACTGTTCAAACTGTCAAAGAGTGTGTCAATTTTATGAAAATAATTTTCATTAAATGCCTGTTGAATTCAAAAAAAAAGAGATCAAAATCAGTCTCAGCTGCCTGCTTTCAAACGTCACAAAGGCTTTCATTAGTTTTGCGATTAAATAAAACAACTTTTTTTATTATTAAAAATCGTCATCGATTAGTTGAATATGAGAGAAGTCCTCTCTCCCTCTCTCTCTCCCTCTTAGTCTCTCTCTCTCTCTCTTTTCTTGTTTCATAAAAAGTTTCGAGAGGATTTAGAGAGCTTCTCGAAACGAAATATGAGATGTTTGAGAAAAAAACGATTCGTGGGAAAGTCTTATCAGGTAAGGAAATGAAACAAAGAGAGATCTGTAAGGCATTAACCAACAAGAAGATGAAGGGAAGAAGAAAAAGGAAAAATCAATATACCTGGATGAATTGAATTGTTAAAGCTGATTTTCCCACGCCTCCACCACCAACGACAACTATTCGAAGGAATGAAGATGTATTGGTTGACGTTGAGTTTGACGTCGGAGATTTGGCAACCATTCTTCTAGATCGTTGACGTCGTCACACACACACACACAAGCTCACGCAGACACAAAAATATATTTTTGAGTAAGCAGTAGCTTTAGCGGTCAAAAATATATGAAAGAATGAAGAAATTGCCTGAGGGCCCAAAATCTAATCTGAAAGATATGTTTTTTGCGAACAATTGATTAGACCAGCTGATTGGAGAGGAGGAGACGACGAAGAAGAAGATTGAAAAGACACAAATTGAAGTATAAAAACTATAGAAAAGACATAAAATTAAAGTTTGTAATAAAAATAGTATAAACAGCAGCTTTTTCCAAATGATTTCCTATCGGCTTTGATGCTTCTCCTAAATTCTGAAGAGCTGCATCTTCGAATCGGCTAGCTGTCTTTCCGTAAAGTTACGACTACACTCAGTCATTTACTCTCTTCCTCTCTCAATCTCTTTCTCTCTCAATCTTTCTCACTCTCTCTCTATCATATTCTTTACCACTCACTGTCTTACAACTCTAACTCTCTTAAGTAGTTGTGAATATGATGCACGAGCGCATTGCTTTGCACATGGAATTCTAGATGGCTTTGACGACGACGACATCACTGGACCGCCGTTGACGTTGCTGCTGATGGTGTGGTCGGGGTGGCGCGAAAACGCAGCCAGCACAGCCCTCTCTTTCAGCAGCAGTAGAGACCAGCAACTCTCTCTTCCTCTCTCTTTTTTTTCGTTTTTCTCTCTTTCTCTCATATCTCTCATTTCTATTTTTCTCCCCACCCCTCTGGCTGGGTCCACATAAGCTCCGCCCAACATTGTTCGACGACCATCCCTCTCCAGCGGCTGACAAACAGTTATTCTGGAAGAAAGAAGCTGCTCTCACAAACTTATCGAACTGAATTTTAATAAAATAAAGAAACTAATAATGAAATTGACTGTTTTGCATCATCTCAATGCTCAGTGTTGAATGAATTTAAGTTGTCTTCGCATTGATTATCAACTTCTTCTCTCTCTTATCAGTTTTTGCATTGACAAGAGCGACTGTCAATAGTGTGTGTGTGGTGTGTGTGAGGGGAAACAAGAAAAAAAATAAATTTTTCATGAATACATGAGGCTATTCCATAGCCAGAGTATAGGGATGTGTCGATGTGTGTATGTGTGTGCGTGTATGGATGAAATTCAAAGAAACGACCGCTTTCACCCTTTTTTCTTTTTCTATCTCTCTGTCTCTCTTTGGCTACTCTCTTCATCATCTCATTGCAATCCTCTATCTCTAATACAACCATATAAGACTACAACAGCCTCATAAATAAGACAACCTGTCGTTAACCGTAAAAACATTTCTATGAAAATGAAAAAAAAAACATTTGAATAGTACGAGAGTTAATGAGATAACGAGAATTTTTCTTTTTTTCTCAAAAATTTTGAAAAAATAAACGAAATGGAGGAGTATGAGAGAAGTGACCTCTTCTGTATACTACGAGACATCTTCATACATTCGTCTTTCCGGTTTCTATTTGGCGGATAAAGAGAGAGAATAAGAATGAGAGAAAGAGAGAGAGAGAGAGAGAGAGAGAGAGAAGGAGTGAGAGCGAACTCTTAAAGCCACTGGCTATTACATCGTCAGAAAGAATAACTTAAAAGAGAAAAAAACTTTTTTTGTCTTCAAATGTTACAAAGAGAGGAAAAGCCTTTAAAAGGAAATGAAGGAGAAGCTTAAACGTTGTAACAGCACTTTAACGATCATTCAAAACACATTTACAGCAATAAAAAGCATATGAAGCCTATATCATACTGACCTAATTATAAAAAAAACTTTTTTTTTTCAAAAAATTATTTTTTATAACAAAAATATGAAAAACAGGTCAAAAATGGAGTAAAATGAGGATAATCATGCCATTTTAGGAATAAAAATGTTTGAAAAAAGAAAAAAGTTGAATGAAAGTTGAGAGGAAAAGGAAATGAACAACCGGTCAGTGCTTGTACCATCAGTCAACAATGACACCTTTGCACCACGTACGCGTGTCTTCACGTCAAAAGGAAAATGACGTTGCATATGCAAATGACCTGCGGATCAATATCGGTAAAGATGAAAAGAAGTAAAAGCATTCATATAATCAACTTTGATAATATAAGATATAAAAATAGGTTTTTTGAAGAAACTAAGCTGTCATCTGTCACATATGGAGATAGAGGACAAGGCAGGAGGTTGTAAGAGGAATGGGGGGGGGGGGCTGTCTGTATGCATGTAAGTACCTAACTCTTACTCTCACTATGTCACTATCTCTATCAAACAACCTCTTCAGAGATTTTACTCTATTTGGGAGGGGCAATAGCCACAGACGTTTAGCCGATTAGTGCCATTCTCGAGGTCATACATAGTATTGTGCAAAAACAGACAAAAACCATATTGTGTATGTGTGTTTATTAGGATTTCCGGATTTGATTGTTAAATGTCAAGAATGTTCATTAAAACCATCTCAAGTACATCATTTTCATATTTAATAAGAGCTTATAAGGTATGTGAGAGTAGTGAGTGGTAGTAGTAGTAGAAGTAGTGGAGAGATATGAAACATACATCTATGATTGGATCAAGATATACATACATGTATACAGAGAGACAGTCAGATGAGACAATGGAAGCTAGAAGGTATATGAATGAAGATGAGGATGGTGTGAACTGTGTAAATCAAAAGAACATAATGAGATATAAGGAATGAATCGATAACCATATGGTAACAATCTGGTGACAATCAATCAATTCGTCACATATTTCTTATAAAATCTGCCGACTTACTTAAAGATGAATCAAAGACATTCAGTTGTTACATTCGTTTCAATAGAAGAAGGCTATTAGATGACGAATAAATCCATTTCTGACTTGACTAATGGACCATCTCTCTCTCTCTCTCTGTACAGTTCTACTCACCAATCCTTCTCTCTCTCTCTATGAATTTCAATTCTCTTTATTTCTGTATGTGTTTCTATTCCTTTGAAGAGAGAGAGAGAGAGAGAGAGAGATGTACATTCCAGACGGATACATAATTAGTCTCGTCACGCACCCCGAACCTATTAACCTTTTACCGAATATCTTTGAACAACACAGATAGATACTATACCCGACTAATATTATTTATAATTTACATATCTCCTCTTGCGCATCCACCTTTCATTCTCCTTTCTATCTGGCTATATCTATTCCTCTCCACCAACCAACTCTCCCCCTCTTCATCACATCATCAAGGGTCTGATGTACTATGGTGGATATTCTGATGTGGTGCAACCATCAGCCTCTTCTAATGAGAACCATTTAAAATATATTTGTTAATATCTTTATTACAAACATTAGTTTTGTCATGAGAAAAAACGAGTTCAAATCAGAGAGATTAAGCATTCAGAAGACCAGATGATGATGGAGGAACAGAGTAGATAGAAGCATTTGAAATGAGCAATCGAACTGTCTATGTTATAATTATAATAATAAAAAATAATAATAATAATGATGAAAGTCATTCAAATAGAAGGGTTGAGTATCCAACAGAGCCGTCAGAATATTCTGTAAAGGAAAAGCCAACTTTGAAATTTCCTCCTTCAAAGAGGTAAAGAGTTATTGAGAGAGAGAGATTGTGAAAGAGAGACATATGGTCTAAAGAGGGAAAGATTAACAGGGAAAGGAAAAAAAAAGAAAAAAAAAGGACTTTAGGTCTGCCCGCATCCAACTGAGAGATAACCCGTGGACCGTAGTATGAAAACTAAAAAAAAATAGAAAAAGACAGATACCTATGGACGGGCAAAAGAAGGCGTTCAAGATGAGCAAAGAAACTGTTGAGGGGGAGTAGAGAGGGATGGGAGGAAGGAAGGAGGGAGAGAATATGAATATATGGATAGTATTATAAAGGTATGAGAAAGATAGATAGAGAGAGAGAGAGACATAGAGAGAGAGAATGGGTGATTATGAAGTGTTGATAAGGTAGGCAATGAAAATATATTACATATAGTTAGCTATATCATATAAATAATGAATGATATAAGCAATTATTCCATAATTCTGTATTCTAATCCTGAGATTTGACAGAAAGTTATTCAATGACGATAACGGAGCTACGTAGAGGTTCGACCTCATCTGGAGCCTTTTTCTGTTTTTCTGAAGATATGAATGATGATGATGACGTCATGAAAGAGATATAAGGTTACCGTTCATTTTCCTTCGAAGTTCTTCTAATTTCGATAAATATTGAGAATCTCTTGATTGTTTATATTCTTCTATAGACCAATCCAAGTTAGAACTCCAGCATAACATAAGATAATTGCAAAAACTTAATCCAGTCTATAGATTATATAATATATATAGTTAGCATAGTTAGTATATACCTTAACATGGGCATACATAGCCACAAAGAAACTTATAAAGAATATGACAGCTGATACCAAGGTTATTGTACTGTAAAGGTTTTCCAGATGTATCTGTAATGATATGCATGTGATGAGCTTTCTATTCATCTGTAATGACTTACACTTGGCAAGAAGCTATGATCACGAGAACGTTCTAAGATTTGTTTAGGGTTTGATCTATCTTCATATGTAACAACAAATTCTGGAGAATTGATTGAAGCGGCAGCAGCAGCAACGACGGCAGCCGATGAAGTTGCTGTTGTTGTTGAATTAACCCTACAAACATTCAGTTAGCTATGTGCTTATATGGTAATTTACATATAAGCTGATTCCACATATTTCTTATCCAATTGAAAACATATAATTGTTGATAAAGCTGATAGTAGCATCAGAAAAACAGCTGTTATGAAGATCGTGTAATATCGGATGTCACTCTCGGAACATTCAGGAAATTTAATTTCGCGATACTTCAATAAGATGATCATAGAGAGAGATATAGAGAGAGAGAGAGGTATACCTTCAATATTCTTCTTCTTCTATACTTGTATAAACATAATTCACAGATGGCTGGACGATGAAGCTTTCTGGATGATATATCCAACCAATGCTGAAATGTCATACATGTTATGCTCATTGGAATGATGTCTAGCGCATCAGCATTGTAACTGTCACAACTATCACATACCATTAGACATGAGACGTGAACGTATTGAAGCGTTCCTGAACATCGACATGGAGATATTAATGGATCTGATGTTGATTCTGAAAAAATGGATTGTTGATGATAGCATTGGATATGCATTGCTTACCTGATGGATCAGATGGCCAACAACAATGACATATACGACAAAGAATTTCATTTGAAGATAAATCAGAAGCTGCTAATGAGTATAATGATGGAACTGATGGTGACGCCATTTCCTGCAACATATAACTTGTAATGATTGAATTTTCTAATTTTATATGTTGATTTCATCTAGAATATCATTCAACTATCCAAAATACACCTGATTTTCATAAAAATTCACAAAAAACAGGATAAAACTCGTTAGTTCGAATTAGATAGTACAACGCTTGATCAGTACATACGAGGGGGGGGGAGGTAGAATAGTTGAGAGAGAGAAAGAGAGAGAGAAAGAAAGAGGGAAGAATGCAACCGCTCATGGCAATAATTTAAATTGAAATGCTTAATCTTCTTATACTGCTTACGTGAACAACACGTTTCACGTGGAAATTCCCACGTACACGTGAAACACGTGATCATTGAAATCAATGCAATTGAAACGATTTGAATGTAACGAATGAAGGCGGAAGAGAATACGAAAAGAAAAAGTTTTTTTTGGCGAAAAAAAGAGTGTTTTGACCAGATGGCTGGCTAGAGAGACACAATTAGACGATTACAAAGGTAAAACATCATCAAATGATTTCTTTGGCAAAAGGTATTGTCAGAAGGCAGCACCTGTTCTTCACAAAATCTGAGGACATGATGCAGATTATACCAAGGACAACTATAAAGAGAGAGTAAGAGAGGGAGAAAGTGAATGAGGTAGACAGAGACAGAGATAGAGAGAGAGAGGTAGAGAGAGGGAGAATGAGAGAAGGAAAATGAATAAAGAATGAAAAGAGTAATGATTGCGTTATAGTTAGAAACAAGGAAATAACATAAAATTGAAAATCACCAGATTACATTTGAAGCTTGTAAAGGACATATACATGAGCTATGAGTTTGAAGCTTGAAAGTAACAAACCTGTTGAGCTTTTGGACAAGTTAAATCGGAAGTTGAAGAGCAATGTCGACAAAGAATTCCCAATTGAGAAGGTGAAGAATCTCTTGCATATTCCATGTTCAGCGAAATATCTGAAAGAGAGAAATTGAAAAAACATAATTGAAGAAGATAAAGCTGAAGGCGTGAAAAGCTTTTTCAATGAATTATCTGATTGTCAGTCGATAAATATTCCAAAAAAGACAATTTACTTTATTTCCTTCTTCTTATATATCTTTGGAGAGGATTTGTTCTTCTAAATTCAAGCTGAATATGAATGAAGGAGAAGAATGAGAGTAGTAAGAGAATAGAATGCAAGGGAATAACATAGAGAGAGAGAGAGAGACAGAGAGAAAGGCTGGAAAGAGATTCTCGAAAGGTCACGTGAACCTTATATGATCATAAACTTTATGAAATAAGGGCTTAATCAATAGACAGAGAGGAGAGAGAGAAAAAGAAAAATTGAGAGAGAGAGAGAGAAAGAGGGAGAATTGATTTTAAAAGATCATCAAGTAAATTGTTTTTTAATTATTATGAAGAAGGAGCTGTAGTGAGTAGTGCAAAGAAAGAGAATGAGAGAATAGGAAGACATAGAGAGAGGAGAACAAGGAAAGAGAGACAAACAGGATATTTTCAAAAAGAGATGAAGCTGAACACAGAGTAGGAGCGAAGAATGGAAAGCAAAAAAGCGAGTAAACATTTTCTTTGAACTTTAATCCTTCGTAGTTACGAATCATTCTCAACGAATATGTGTTTCAGACAGTTTGTACTTTTCACTTTCCTCCTCAACGACGACATTGACGTGAAATTTAATTTTGAGCCAAGAAATAGGAGGAAAAAAAGAAAGAAAAAAGGAAATTTGCGTGAAAATGTGAGAAAAGCACACGTGCAAGCTGAGCGGAACACTGGTTTGTTATTGAATTGACACAACCTCGGGGGCAGTCAGTAAATGAAAAACGGAGAAAGTTCAGTTTGAGTTGGTTTTTTGCTTTGATTTTTGGAGGTGGAAAGTTCAAAAGTGAAAAACATCTGAAGCATTGTGGTGAAGCTCTTCCCTCTCTTCATTTCTCTTACACACACTCTCTCTCTCTCTATTCCATTCTTTCATTCTCTTTATGTCTTTCATCTCATCTCATTCGCATGAAATCATCTGTACTTATCAGATGAAATGGAAAAATGGGGGGTTGAATGCAGAGAATTCTTCAGATTGAGGATGAATTTCAATGCTTTGGCTCGAATGTTTTGCCCTTTGTTAATAGGTGATGAAGGACGTGTGTACTTCTGGAGACAGCTTTCGTCGTCTTCATCGTTGTCGTCTTCTAATTCTGTCGTCTAGTTGTGTCGTCTGTCCGTCTTCTGTCTTCTTCTCCATCTCATCTTCCGTCTCTCCTCATTCCCTTCAACCCCTCTCTTCCACATCAATTTTTTTGCTCCAAAAATCTCTCTTCATAATGATATTAAACAACAAAAATCTTCCTGAAAATCTTTGAGATTTTCCAACAAAAACTTTTTTCATTTCCTTTCTCTCTCTCTCTACACTCTCCCTCATTCTCCTTCTTGAGGTGGTTCTCTCTCTCTCTTTCCCTTCATTTTTTCCTTTTTTTTTGCAATGACAGATTAAAAATGACAACTATGACGTCATTTAGAATGTCAACCATATATGGAAAACATCAAAGAATACAGAAATAAGCAAATTATGGGAGCAGATATGTGTGGAAAAAAAATATTCGAAAACGGTTAAGAAGTAAATGAAAGAGAGAGATAGAGGAAGAGTGATGAGGGTGCGTAGAGAGAAAGGAAGAGATTGGGAGGGAATAACTTAAGGTACTTACTCAGTTATTAGTTCAGACCAATTGGACCAAATAAGAACACAACGAGAAGATAATGCTTTGAGAGTTTCGTGTGAGGAATTCACAGAAAAGTAACAAAAAAACACATGAAGGAAAAGCTTCTTTGCAAGCTTGTGTCAGATGAGAAACGTAATCTCGGTGGATCAAAATATCTTCGTTTTTCCTCTTTATTTTCTTCGCCTTCCTCTCTCTCTCTATGTGTTCACTCTCTTCATATTTTCCTTTTCTCAGATCTCACGTGAGTTTCATTTTCTTTTTTCCCCCTTCATCTCTGTGTCGTCTTCGTCGTCATTTTATTCCATGAATGCGCAGAGAGCGGTTGTGTTCAGACTCCGTATAGAAAGGAAAGCAATTTGTTATTTAAACTTTGATTTTCAGATCAGTCTGAGGAGGAAAACGCAAATGAGAGCAGAACATGAACGGACAAGAGAAGAAGGCAACCAAGCCATATATAGATAGAGAGAGAGAAAAAGAAAGAGAGAGAGAGGGAGGAAGAAAGTGTAAAAACGATGTTATCAAGCAAAATACGAAAATTTTCAGCAAAAATGGAGTTTGAAGCTGAGATGAGATCTGAAAAAACGCGGAAGAGAAAGCACTTTGATGTAAAGAGCACAGAGGGCAAAGTCATTCAAAAATTCCTCAAATTTTGAAAGAAAAAGTTAAAAGAAGTTAAAAAAAAAGAAAATTCATCATCATTGAATGACCTTCAACGACGTCGTCGACAAGGTGCACACGAAGCCTTCAGAAACATATTGAACTTACCACGTTTATCAAGTGACATACTGGAACGAGATAGAAGCTTCGAATGGCTCTTTTTAGAATTGGACGAACAGACCACTACTGCAAATAAACAATTAATGATAATTAATTAGTTATAACATAATAATAAAGGTTAACATAGATAACGAGACACCCCATCATCATCATCATCATCATGGGCCTCCGATACAAAAATTTTTTAAGAATCTTCCAGATTTTGACGACGTCAATTGTGTTATCGCCGTCAGAATAACAGATGACTTGTTTACAGTACTTTTGCAACGCTCATCGTCCAAAAAGCCACATGAGCTGATCTCTCTCTCTCTCTCTCTCTCTCTCTCTCTCTCTCTCCTTCTTTTTATTTTGTCTTTTCAATCCCTCCCTCTCTCTCTCTCTTTTTCTTTTTCTCTCTCCCTCTCTCTATCTTTGTATCATTTTTTTGCCCTCTTTTCCTCTTTCTCCCTCTCTCTCTATCTCTCTATCTCTCTCAAAACTTCTAATTACATTATTGGCCCGTTGTAGTCTTTCGTCGTCTCAATAAGAACAACATCTGTACTTTTTTGGTTGTAAAGAAGAACTACCGAAAGTTTTTTTTTCGCTGATTACTCTTGAGTATCGTTGGAGAAAAAAAAGTAAGTTGGGACCGGTCTTTTGCCCTTCATCACCCCCTCCCACCACCCCCATCGTCCGCTCGATTTATAAAAGGAAGATTTAATTATTTGGTTTGGGTACGATGAGATGATGGCCACCATGCAAGAATCGGAAAAGCTCAAAGAGGAGGAAAGAAATAAGGAAAGGAAAGTTGTCTCAAAAACTGTTTTGGAGATGCAGACGAAGAGAATAGCAGGAAGGGACAAGAAAGCAATGAGGGGGAGCCCCCCCCCCTCTCCCCGCTCTACCCGTACTGCTCTGCCAATTGATTTAGCCCAATGTCGATGAATAGGAAGATCTCTTGTGATGAAGGAGAAACCTTATCTTGAAACCTATTTAAGATTAAGTTGTATGATGGAAATGTGGTGAAAAATAACGTCGAAAAAAGATAGAAAAAGGACGTGGCCCTGATGCAGCTTGTACTTTCTGTTTTTCCAACCAAATAAGGCTTTTTCGGATCCGATTTTGAGTGAATGAAATGAGATGACGATTGTCATCGGAATCTTCAGAATACGAATAAGTCAAAAAGTGGAATAAAAACAAAAATAGAACAACAAGTTGGATGAACTTGAAATAATTACGAATCAGCTGTTAGTAGTAGTCGATATGGGAGAGCAGCCATATATGTACATATGCATACATGTCTAGAGAGAAAGAGAGAGATAGAGGGAATGAGTGAGAAAGAGTCAAAGAGCTTATTCTATCTTTGTGCTGATGCTGATTACATTTTTTCTATTCACATCCGCCCTCTCTTCGATCAATAACTCAAAAATGATAATATTGGGCAAAGGCTTGCTGACGGCTTAATCTAACGATGCTTCTTTTTTTCTTCGTGAGAAAAGCATTAACATTTAGAAAAAAATCCATTTTTTTATGCAAAAAAAGGGGAAAAGCTTCTCTGATTTTCATGCTTTTCATCATCGTCTCTCCTGCTTCTCCTGCTTCATCTCTTCAGCTTCTTCTCTCTTCGTTTTTTCATTCACAAAATCATGTAAGCTTACTGATAAAATTCTTTGATGTTTTGAATGAAAAAAAAAACGAATTGGAAGGAGTGAGGGAGGGATAGACAGAGAGAGAGAGAGAATGCGAGCAGGAAGAGAGAGAGAGAAGATGAAGAAGAAGAAGAAGAAGAAAAAGAAGAAAAAGGATATTAAAATGCTTACATAAAGTAAAAGCTGAGCGATGTGACGTTCACTTCATGAAGCCCTGAGGCATACACAGGGTAACGCCTTCAACGGGCAGTACCGACCACAAGCAAACGGATGTTGTGTGATTCGCCAAAACTCTCATTTTTAAATGATCTCTCGGTGTTGAAGCCAAAAGACAGCTGTAAAGCAGCAGGCATGATTGAAGTGTTCGAAAGATATAAAGAGGGGGAAAGACAGCATCCCAAAGAAATTGAATCAAATAGAAAGAGACAAAAAGGTAAGAGAGCCAGAGGAAAAACCTGGCAGAGGTGAGCATTTTGTTTATCATTGACCACCACAGCTTCGTATCCCCCCCACCGAAATCCCTCTCCCATTCATTCCCCTCGACCCTCTCTTCTCATCTATTCCTCGACTTCATGTGTCCAGCAGAAGCTGGACGAACAACAAAAACAAGTTTACCATCTAAACGTTCAAACGAATGTAAGAAAATAAAGAATAAAATTTCCAAACGGAGAGAGAAGGATAGATAGAGAGAAAGAGAGCTTAAAAGAGTAAATGCGAGAGAGGGAGAGGAAGGGAGGTGAGGTGGGGGGTGAGAGGGAAAAATAGAGAGGAAAGGAGAGAATGAATGAAAAAACGAAACGAACACAACGCCCCATAGAATTAGTTAGTTATAGTCCAAAAATAATTTAATGACAACAACTTTTATTTGAGGAGAACTAAAAAAATGTGCACAGACACAACCGCTCACTTCGTCTGCACGTACAAAATGATTTGCGTCAACATGTGTATAATTCATTGTGCCATCGCCGAAAATTTGAATAGACTACACACAAAATTGATTCACGTGGCATTTTACGTGACATTTCACGTGATAACTGTCATTCCACATGATAATTACTTCTTGCTTTGATGATTTATATGGAAACATATGCAAATGAGATAGGAGAGAGAGTTACGTTTATGAAGAGCGGAAAACAGTAGTGGAGCCAATTGTCCTTTGGGTACAGATAAGGATTAGCACAAGTAGACACAGATTAAGCAATCACTATAATCAAGCAGCAACAGAGAAGAGAGAGAGAGAGAGCGGAAGAGGGAGAAAAAGCAAGAGAGAACGAGAAAGGGAAAATCAGAAACTGTGGAACATGGAACAGATGCCAATGTATATGATGAAGATTATGCTAAGGATGAGATATGTAAATCTTCTTTTTAATTTGTGGTGAGAAGAAAAGCTGGCTTGAGGTGCCTCTTCCTCCCCCCATTTGAGGCAATCGAAAAACATGAGGCGGGACAAGCCCATGAGGAAGAAGGAGCAGCAGCAGACACGAAATAAGGGAAGAGCACTAAGGCATGACTGATGCTAGCGGTTGATGCTTGTTTTCTAAGAAGACCAACTTAGATCTTTGCAAGCTTTCTCTCTCCTTCTCCCTCTATGCCTGTCTGTCTCTCTTTTTCTGAAGTTTTTTGTGTGCATTTCACAATATTCTCGTTGTGTCTTCTTCTTCGTCTTCATTTTCTTAAAGATTCGTTATGTCTTTGCACCCATCAGACGTCCTGGTACTACTTGAGAATGCAAGAAAAAGAAAAAAAAGGAATAAAACTGGCGAATGAATGGAAAAAAAAGCCTCCAAAAGAGATGTGCTGGACAACGGGCTTTACATCATGACCAACAAATCAAAATTGTCACAAATAACCCAAAAACAATAGCCTGGGGCAGCTTCTTCCATTTGAGCATCTCAGATGAAATTGTTTTATTTCTTTTCTCTTCTTTTTTTTTCTTGTGTCCACGCACCGAAGACACAGAGACACTTTCCGTATTTGGTGCGATGACCTCAGGCCATCCCATTCTTGTTCAAGAACGTCTTGTCTCTCATCTTTCATCTGTCTCAAAAGCTTGTTGGTGGTGGACGAATGGCACAAACTGCTCTCGACCAATGGACTTTTCCCTTTTTACTTTCCTCCTCAAACGAAAAACTAAAAGGAAGAGATACTGGAGACAAATGATAAGAGTTAAGAGACATACAGAGAGAAAAAGGGAAATACTAGAGATAGAAGGAAATAATGAAACAATTCGGGAGAAATGAGAATTTTCCAACAAAAATGAGAGAACATGAGCTTCTTTGAAGATTCGTGATCTCATTTGAGCTTTTTCAATTTTGTTTTCAACTGAATTTTTCTAAGTCACGACGCTCATATTCATTTTTCTCTCTCATTGCTCCCTCTGTCTCTTCCTCTCTTCCTCCCTCTCTCTCTTTCTTTCTCTCTCTTTGTTGCGAGCCTGCTTTTCCCATTTGTTTCTCTCTTTTTTCTAATTTCCTTCATTTTTTAGTTGTCAACTGACCATGAACTACTTGTGTTCCAATTGAAAAATAAACTGATCTTGGAGCAAAAATCAGCTGAAGTAAAGAGAAAAAGGGGTTTTGTACTTGAAGTCTTCTTTAATGCTTCACTGAATCTTCACACACACACAAAGAGATACACACAGATAGAAGGCGAGAGAAACAGAGAGGTAGATGAGGTAGAGAGAGAGAGGAAGGTAGGCAGAGTAAAAGGGGCAAAACTGTGTGAAAAACAAAGATAATATACTTCTTTTTACTCCGAAAATCAATAGGAAATAGCAAAAAAAAGAAAAAAAAGGAAAAACTCACTCGTTTCTGGAAAGCTATTGAGTGATTGCGTCTTGACCATACTTGGAGATGAGACCAAACTTGTTATGATGGTTGGTGGATGAATTATTGATCGATTTATAGAGGTAGAAGTAGTAAGAGTTGCTTCATCTCCATGAGCGGCTGTTGAGACAAAAGAACCCGTAGAGAAGAGACGAATCCGCGAACCCATCTGTAATATTAAATTTATTTAAAAAGCCATTTAAAGGCATAGAAATAAACAAATAGTATTTGATGAGAATGAGAGCTTTTTTTCATATAACAAAAAAAACTGAAATGAAGGGAGTAGGGGAGAGAGAGGGAGATGGTGGGAGGGTGAATGGGAGGGAGGGAGGGAGGGAGTGGGATGGAGATGAAGGAGAACAAAAAATAAAACTGAAAAGACGTTTAAGTGCAACTTGGGATCATATATAGAAGCTTCGATGAACGAATGAACGAAGCTGAGCAGGCGGGTCTTCGAAGGGCGATGCCCCTATAGGGACAAGCCACCCAGAATAGAAAACTTAGGTCATATAAAGTGGAAAATGATGAAAAAAAAAAGATTTTGAGAAAAGAAAATTGTGAAAAGCAGATTGGAAGAATGAGAAAGAGAGAGAGAGGGAGAGTGATAGCAGTAACGAGAGCTGCCAACCTCCCTTCGTGCCCCGCAAGAGAGGAACGAAACAAGAAGACCAAAGATAAATTATATTAAAACCGAAGAAGATTTCTTTCAATCACATCAACTGTGAATGTTGAACGAAACAATAAGAAAGTCCAAAAACTATCTTTTTTCTTATAAAATTTAATAATTTAAGTACAATCTCATTATTCAAATAGGCTAATTTGTTAGAAAAAAGGTCATCGTAAATGGAAATGAATGCTCGCATAGACGACCGCTCAACACATCTGATTTGAATGCAAAATGGTTTTTTCACGTGCGCTTTACGTGAACAAGGAATAGTTTTTTTTTCTCTTTTCTGTTCATCTTCTTTCTAATCCTTCGGTTATTTTTTTTCTTCTTCCTGCCTTCTCTCTCATCTTCATTCTCATCTCATCTCATCTCATCTTCCTCGTACACTCTCTCTCTCTCTCAATCTCTCTCTCTCTTCCTTCATCTCCTTTTCCTATTTCTTCCTTTGTAAACAAAAAACAACAATTCCTAAACAATGACCATTTCAATTTTGGTTTTTCTTTTCGGTTTTTTTATCAAAATGAGAAAGTTTCTTACAAAACTCACCAACATTGCAAGAGAATGAGAAGGACAAGTGTCAGAAAATGTTTATTCCAATACTCAATTGGCAGCTTTTTTTACCACATTCGTCTCTCGAACAACTAGGCTGATTCCAAAAAAGGAATGAGAGAGATAGATAGAAAGAGAGAGAGGGAGATGCAAAACGCAAAATAATGTTCCGGGTTTTGTGGAGATTCAGAATCTCGCATTTCGTTTTGAGCCCTCTAGTCCATGGATCATGAAGCAGAAAATTCTTTTTTAGAGAAAGTTAAGTTTAAGCAACGGTTACTGACAGAGTAACGATTCTTCAAGACTAATAAAGAGAGAAAGAGATAGAGTGAGAGTGAGGTGAGATGTGTTAGGAGGTGAGTGAGGGAATGAGTGAGTGAGTGAACAAGTGAATGAGTGGGTAAGGGAGAAGAGTGGAAAACGAAAAGATGCGAATAGCCTGAGGGGATTTGAGCATTTCATTGTTGTTGTTATTGTTTAGAATGAGAAAAGGTAAAACAAAGTTGAAATAAAGAAAAAAATGAAATAAACCTCGCAAAGCAGAGATCGTTTCCTTGAGAGACGTGTCGACGATTGTTTGAGCTGAAAAACAAAAATTATAATATAAGAACCTTCAATGGAGCTTTTCAATTAAAAACTCTTTTGGCTGCAAAAAAAACTGATGGAATAAGCTTTAAAAAAGTTTTGTTGGAAAAAAAGCAAATAGCGATATGGGGAGTACATTGAGCAGAAGCAAAAAACGGAATTGTTGAGACGAAAAACAAAAAATAGTCGAATGTCTCGAGTCTTTTGACGGTGTGAGCCAGTGGGATTCGTCTTCAAAACGAGAGGTAAGAGGAAAAGTAAAAAACGGAGGGAGACACTAGAGGAGGGTGCTGGGAGGTAGGAGGGAGGGGGGGGGGGAAGAACAGAAAGTAGAATATGAAAGACATAAATGAACCACAAACTGATGATGGAAAATAAAGAAAGAATGAAGAGAGAGAGAGAGAGAGATAGAGAGAGAGAGAGAATAAAACTGGGAAAAAGAGCTCAGAGAGTAAAGAGGGAGGGAAAACATATGAATGTCGATGGTCGTCGGGTAGGAACGTCAAGCCAATAACACGTGAGAGTACGTCGTACTTCCAAACATACTTTTCATATTCCGGACGGATAATTGAACGGAAATTTAACTTTCATGAAAATCATAGAAAGAGAGAATGATTTGAAAGCATTCGCCATCTCATACTTTTCCATATTCAGTTGTGTGTGTGTGTATGTGTGCGCGCTATTCTCTCATAAGTATATATCTTTCAGAAGGCCATTACCAACATCGAAAAACTTCGAAGGCTATATAATGAGCTTAAATCTCTTAAACGTAAGCTGAACACAGAAAAAGAAAGGAAAGAAAAACAAACATTTCCTCACTCAATCACTTACTCACTCACTCACTTGTTTAGGTTAGATCGCAGTGCAAAGGGTCATCAAAAGAAAGAAAAACAATTAAAACAACATTGTTAACAACTCTTCCTCACACCCTCTCGATCTCTAGCTGCATGTATGTACGTATATGGTGGTTAGGAGGAGCACATGATGAGATTCTACTTTGTGTTGATCTTTGAAAGTATGAAAGGTAGAATACCTGTTGATCACTTCCAAATTGGCTGGACGAGCAAGGAGAATCTGAAAAACAAGTAAATATTAATGGAATAAACGTTTTCAATAAGTACAAAATGTGATTGTCTTCGTTGACGATTTATAAAATTAAATATCAATATTACCATGTAAATAGAGGAAAAGCTGCAAAAATTGGAAAAAATTTGATTGAAGGGGAAAGCTTTAGAGGAGAGCAAGGGAATGAGAGATGAGTGGGGGAGGGGGGGGGTAGTGGAAGGTATGAGGAGAAGCTTCAACTAGCCAAATGGTTCTGAAAACATAACTACAGGAGAAGTTTAATATAGAATAGATAATGAATTCAAATATATTCAGAACAACTTGTTCATTCCTTTAAAAGCCGGTTGTTACTCTACTCTTGCTCTTTCTCACTCTCTCACTTGCTTCCTCATCTCTCGCAATGCCTCTCTTCAACGAACGGATGTTGGTCCAACATCACCATTGGTCACAACCTTATTATCTTATTTTTGAAAAGCTTGTATGTTGCTGGTACGTTTTTTTTTTTTTTTATGTTTTGTGAATAAAAGAAGGAACAAGGAAGATTCCAATAAAGTTAAATGAAAAACAGATATGAAAGAGGAAAAGCAAAAAGGTCAAAGCTGAAGAAGCATAGAAGTTCAAGTAGTTGAGAATGTGTCTAATCAAACCAAAAGGACATCTATTGAGAAGTAGGAGGAGAAGAAGAAGGAGAAGAATAAAAAATGTTCAAAATCTTTCTAAAAATGGATTATATGTATTTGCTTTCTATTGATTAACAGCTGATTCTCTCTCTCTCTCTTACTCTCAATCACTACAACCGCTCTATACTGTCTACAACAAGCTAAATGAACTCAATGCATTCACGTACAAATGCACGCAACACACGTGTACGTCACGTAATCCACGTCATATACGTGAAAGAAACTAATCCAATTTATGTTTTATTGCAAATTAAAATGAAATAAATTTGTAAATTTTACTTTTTCGTTTTTTAATTAAATACTCACTAACAACAAGAAAAGGAGATGATGATGACGACGATGAAAGGAACACCAAGAGAGAGAGAGAGAGAGAGAGAGAGAGGGAAGGAAGGGAACGGGCTGATGAAAGATTACAGGAACTCTCTCTTGTTGTAAATTTTTTTGGAAGAACGAACGAAAAGCTAATTTGAAAATAAATAGTAAATTATATTTGACTTTTAGTAGAAATGAAAGATAATTTGGAAAAAGGCGGATTAGAAGGACATGAGAGTTGTGAAAGTTATACAAAGAGAGAGAAACAGTGAAAGAAAGACAAAGAGAGCTGACTGCAAGAGATTAAAAGGAAAGGGGAGGGAATGGGAGGAGATGGAGAAACGAAAGCAACAGGAGCTGACAAGAAGCAAGACAGACATAGAGAGAGAGAGAGAGAAGAACTTTAAGTATATCATATAGTTAAAGAATGTTTCCATCTGATAACAATTCGCGACAAACAAAACTTTTGATTGTCGAATAAAAAATCCAAATTTATTATTTTTCAACTTTCAAAGTTTTTCGTTAACACGTTTGACAATCAAATGACAATTAGAAGGCGTTACATTGGAATTCCTTCGTTCATTTCTCCAAAAATCAGTATTCAAGATGAGAAAGAGAAGACGAAAAACAAATTCTTATTGCTAAAGAAGAGAAATGTATATCCAATGAATGATAGAGAGAGAGAGAGAGACATGAAAGGGTCTAGGAAGGAGGTAGAGTGAGGATATGAGAACAACAAATACAACATGCACTTCTTTACGTATCGCACTCCTGAAGTCTATGTAAGCAGGCGAGGAAACATTTCCTCTTTGAAAATATTGTATTCATAACCTCTTTACATACTTTCGAAATACACCTTTCCATATAAAGCAGAGATAGAGAGAGATAGAGAGAAAGAGAGAGAGAGATGGTTAAGAAGAATTTCTCTCACAAGCATTCTTCATCTTCTTTTCTTGATAACGAAAAGTAAATAATGGAATGACTATTGACTTGCGGCTATTAAACAACAACAAAAACAACAACAACAGCATCATATAGGCAAATACTATATCCACTTCCGGTTTTATAATATTGAGAGCTACGTATATGACTTATGATATCTGTTAGTGCACACACAAAGACAGAGAGGCGCACGTACGTACGTATATACACATGAACATACCGTAGAACTGTAAATCGCGTAATCCATGAAACGTCGCTGACTTCTTAGGCGTAGAATTTTCACTCGATATAAGCTGTTCCCATTCTTTAGCATCATCTAATGAATGTAATCTGGTATATCCATATACTTCTTCTTCTATCGTTCCTAATTTTTCACCCTTCAAAGAGAAAAGAGTCAATGTAACAAGCGAATAACACATCTCCATTTCTATTTTAACACAGATTATATTGATTTGTGTTGATAAGTGACCCATATCATTCATTTATAACAGTCTCAGGGGATTTACAGAACTTTTTGACGACGTTGAGTTATCGCTTTTGACGAATCAAAAACGAAAATGAGCCCATGGCCCATCAACTTATGAAAATCCAAATATCTGACCATTCAACAAGCCTTCAACCATACACACACACTCTCACACACTTCCATATATATATATATATATATATATATATATATATATATATATATATATAT